CCGCCGCCGCCGCCGGCAGTGGTGGCGGCGGCAGCGGCCGCTCTCACGCGCGCGATCTCCGACATAGTATATAACACTGGAGCACCGCGTAGTCGGAAGCAACAACGGCACACACGGTTTATATAAGAAGGGGAGTATTAAACTCGCGCTCCGTGAGTTTTGGACTCGATTGCGGATCTACCGGGTGTTCCTACAGCTCGGAAAATGTCACTTCTTGAATTTTTACTCTAGAGTACCGGAATGCGCGGGTATTAAGATGGTTCTTTGAAAACCTGTATTTATCATGTGTCCTCTTTTTCTTCCCCCCTCTCTTTACTCTGAACTTTCCCGGAACTCTCGAGCGTTATTTCTTGTCTTTCGGATAATTCTTGAATCGTATTCTTAGATATTGTTTGAGTTAAGTTCATTGGAATCATTCCAGCTCTTTTGTAAATTTCTGTTAAAAGAAAATTGCTCCTCTAAGTAATTTTGTATACAGTTTACAAAAGAGGTAACGCTAGTGTGTTTACCAGTTCGAGGTAATCGTCTGTCTATCTCTATACGATATTTTCGAATTATCTCTGAAAATAATCCTTAGTACACACGATTGAATCATTTGTATCCTGTACATTTTCTTTTTTTTTTTTGAAAAACTAGAAGCATCAAATAATTAGTTATAACGCTTACATATATACAATTTTTTAAATACACAATAGTATAAATATTGTCTAAAGTATAAGAATTACTTAATAGTTTTTATACATTTGTTAAAATGATAAAAATTAACCTAAGACATGAACGATCCATCGTGTGCAATAAAGGATTAGAAAATCATTGTGTGTACTAAGAGTTAAGATAACTAGAAAAGATATTTACGCAAAAGTTCCGTTTGGAGTAATAATATATTTTTCGTTTTTATTTTAATTCCATATGATTATAAATTTACAGAAAAGAAATAGCGTTTATCAGTTTGAGGTGATCGTGTCTCCATAGAACGTCTCCGAATTAGAAAGAAATATTTACGCAAAAATGCCGTTTTGAAAAATAGTTCGTTCTTTTGAAGAAGTACATTTCTCATTTTTATCTTAATTTCATATGATATAGATTTATAGAGAAAAGAGGTAATGTTTATCGAATCAAGCAATTGTGCCTGTATAGAAAGTCTCCAAGATAATTAGAAAAAAGAGACAGCAGAAATGCGTTTTGAGGAAATAATGTTTATGCATTTATCAGTTGAAGGCAATCGCGCCTCTATGAAGACCTGTTCTGATATACACATTGCTAGTATTGAAAATCTACAGTTCACGTTGTGTGTACTAAAAATTGTTCAGTGTATATATCGAAACACAGTCAGAATGTCTCTGAATTAAGATAATTAAAGGGATACTGGAGCGACCTGGAGGGAAACTATCGACAGTCATATAAAAATCTCCGAATTGACTAAACGGAATCAAATATCCTTTTAAAGTAGATGCAAAATTAGTAGATGGTGCAGTAGACTTTAAACTAAAATTTAAAAAAAAGTTAAGTAAGTTTGTACCTTTTTTTCGATTTTAGTATAAAGTTCACTGCATCACCATCTAATTTTGCGTTTGCTTTAATCATGTAAAAGGATTTTTGATTTCGTTGAGTCAATTTGGAAATTTTTATATGACTGTGTTGTCGATAATTTGATCACTCTAGCATCCCCTTAAAAATGCCGTTTTGACTAGTATGTTTCTTGTTTTCATCTTCGTTTCATACGACTTATAGAAGGTACTTCGGAATTGGCACACGACGTTGCGCCAGTAAGATTCTAGCACGCACTGACCTTGCTCTCGGAAACCAGTGCGGGATAATTGTACAGGCGGATGTATAGCATCGTTGGCGCGTGTTTGCGGACGAAACGCGTGTAATTTGCGCTTACCGAATAAACCTTAAGGAAATTGTACACTGATTTACAAGAACGCGAAAAAAACGAAGCTTCTTTCGCGAAACGTTCCGTTTGAGAATTCGTAACATCCGTTTGTGCGGATTAACTCAGAGTACTTGATTTAATCCTTATCTGGGCAATCTATTTTCGTACCGTCAGCGGACAAACAGAGCGCAACACGTTCCGCAGCTATTTAAATGTTTTTACGCGTTCACGTAAATGGAACAAGCTGATTTGATTGCTCCGTACTTTTAACTTTGATTGACTTTAAAACACACACATATTCCTTTATCTTTTATAGTTAAATATTATTGAATATTATTTAATATTACTTTAATAGTGTAAGAAGTAGATGTCTCAAGATTTGGAGTAAGCTTCTCGCTCGACTAAGGATTAAACTGCGCTGTTACAACCTTAAACTGCGCCTGATTAAAATCGCTTTTCCCTTCACTAAATGTTAAGAAGATTTTTTTTTATATCGTGTGAAACCTCTTATAAATCGTGAGAAACTATATAACTCCAGTTTGTTCGGTTTACACATAAATCCGACTCCCTCTTGAATTAATTTTTAGAATGTCAGAGAAAGTGCATTTTCTCGAATCTTAAAAGAATTCTATTTCTTTAGAGAGAAGTTTTTCAATTTAGTATGTTACTTGTCTCAGAGTAAGACACAATTTTAGGAACATTACATCCTCCAATACTCGAAAATTTAATGTTTCTACTGTTGGACTTCTAATCCAATTGTTAACATTATTTAAAAGTTCCACAATAACTACGATAATACTAGAACTTTATATTGCTTGTGAAGTATATAACAGATAAATACGAAAGAACTTCGTTCAGTAAATCAATATCGAGTGTCGTTGATAAAACGAATTATGCGAAATGCATGTGAATTAGAAGGACTTGGATTTATGTGTAAACCGAACAAACTGGAGTTATAGTTTCACATTATAAGAGGTTTCACACGACATAAAAAAAAATCTTATTAACATTTAGTAAAGGGAGAAGCGTCTTTAGTCAGGCGCAGTTTAGGGTTGTAACAAGTTTAATCCTTAGTCGAAATTTATTGCAAATTAAAGATTCGCAAGCTAAAAAAACTTAACCATTTTAATAATAGAGTTTTAAAACAGACTGAACCTAAACGTAATAAGCGGATGTTACTTAATTTGTACATGGAAAAAACGGTTTTATTGAAGTATCTTGAAAAATTAATCAGATACAGATCTAAAATAATTTTATTGAACTAAAATATCAAAATATATACTATCAAAATAATTATATTAGAACCCTTCAACATTAATGACAATGCTGTAAAAAGTTTTGACATTCTAGCAACTAGCTTGGCTTATATAATTATTTTGATGGTCCAAACAATTATTTTATTTTCAGTTATGTCTAGCTATTTTAGCCATAGCTAGTCTAGTTAAATTTTTAGATACTTCCGCAAAACCGTTCTTTCCTTGTAACTATTCAATCTCCATATTTTAGTAACTGTATATACACTTATTTTAACGGATCTGTGAACTAATTAATATTTTTTATACCGCGGATATTATTCATCAGTTTAATGTGATAAATACTTAGCATAATGAGATACTAAATACAAAGAGTTATTATGTTGCGTATCCTTCGCTCATCTGCGTATCTTTAGATTTCAGAGAAGCATGGAATCATTGAAGAATGAAATTAAGAAGCCAATTACGC